TTACATACAATTGTAGCAACCATTATATTATAAACATAATCATCTTTACACCATACCTAAAATCCACTGCTGTACACAGGTCTTTTCCAAATAATGCTAAAAAGCACATTATTGAGTCATCTGATTTTTTTATAGGATAGGGTGACAAACGAGCACACAGTCCACTTGATGGTAAGTGGTTGCTGTAGCCATAGACATCTACATCTATCCTCGATTACGAATCAAAATGCGGATACGTTGTCAGTACGATGAAATGCCTTGTTTCCACTAAAATGGGTCTCTTGTTCTCTACACTCACTATACGAATCACAGCAGCGTTAAGCTGCTATTTTACGCTGGTATTCTGTGAGAGCGTGGTCCTAACCTGCCGAGCCGACCCAAAAGATACCACTAATATATCTGGATCTCTTCCATTTTAACAATTCAGCATCAGCATCTATTGACTTCCTGCTTCTAATATCAGATCTTCACTCCATCCAGTAAAAGGTCGTCCTAGACTTCGCTTACCGGTACAAGGCTATCCCTCGATAACCATACTTCTCCCTCGATTTTTACCTCTTCTACTGATATGTCTGGTCCCCTACCGCTTCAGCTTACTGATCTATTGGACTATGACACTTACTCTGGTTCTATTCCAGATATAGTAAGGTCACACAACCTATATACGTCCCACTGCTGGCCTCCACTCATTTCTGAGACGGTTTTAGGTCAAGAAAATGTCATGTCTTCGAATTATTATTTTTTCTTATTTCTTAGACATGCTGGTTTCCTTACGATGTTTTCCTTCACCGCCGAGCTCGTAGTAAATCGTTACTTAAAATTGCGATTACCAATTTCATTAAGTTGAGTTACTCGCGTACTGTAAAATTTACAGCGAGCGCTTAGATTCTAAGCTTTGTGTGACTTGGATATTACACATGAGTTTTATTTTATTTAATTGACGTTGAATACAATAATGATGTATAATTCTTTTTTATAAAATTGAATTCGATTGTATAAATTTCTTAATTTTATCACTTGTATATTTGAAAGATAAAAAACAATGGTCAAAAATGTTGGAGGCCTTTACCCTGCGATAGGGGTTCTCATTAAATTAACTTAAACTCTAATATTTTCTTTATTTTAATTTAATAGTGATAATATGTAAATAATCAAATTATATAATGAAAAATGAAAAATACGTTTTTAAATTATATTAATCATTAAAAATAACAAAGTCAAATTAATTATGTAACTAAATATTAATTAATTATGTAAATGATTTGTTAATATGTTATGATTTGTTTATTATTGTTGCATGTAAACATATAATATCTATTGTAAAACAGCATGAAAAATGAGAAATAAAAGGGTTATTTATTTATTTATATTTGAAAGAAATTAAGATACAGCTGGCAGTAAGCAATGCTACACCTATACATGCGGCTGCCTTTATTTTTGAAGTGATAACTTTTTTAGGCACATTGGGCATCTTATCAAACCGTTTAAAAGTAAACTTAAATCATATTTGTTAAGTCAACCATACTTATTGTAGTAGGTACTTCTGTTAGAATAATGTGATTTAATATTTTAATACATCTTTTTTGACGACTCTCTAGCGTAGATAAACCCCTAGAGGTTTATATGCTAGTATTGTACTGGATAATGTAACAAAAGTATGGATAATAAATTTAAAAAAATCGCGTGACCGTCATGCTCATATACGTATGTACATATGTATATTTATAAATTTGTTTTTATTATACTGAGTGATTTTTTAACGCCTGGAAAAAATAAGGTGTAACAGTTGAACGGATTACAAGCCTATGTCACTGATATTTTACATTTTTTCATTTTACATTAACATTTTTTGTAATTGATCTATCAGTAAATATTAGTAATTTGAAATAAGCTTTCGGTACCAAAAAATAACAACAAACTTTTAGAACTAAATAAACCAATTAAAAACTATCTAAATTAAAATAATACGTACACAATTAGGAGTATTTATTGATAGAACAATTCCATAATATCATAATGTAAAAGCAAAAAAAAGTAAAATATCAGTGTCATAGGCTTCTATTCCGTTCACCTGTTACACCCTATTATTTTTCAGATGATTAAAAATCGTCCGTATAGATACATACATACAATTATCATCCTTTTTAATGTAAAAAAGCTCAATAAAGGAAAATTTTATTACTATATTAATAGTTTGATAAAAATAATATAATATATAAAAATTTATGTTCGATTGTTCGGATTTTATGCGCTGCCATACCGATTGTGGTTAAACTTTGTCAACTTGCTACTTGTACTTGTGGGAAGGTCATAGGTATAGTACAATTAATTAACATTATGTGGTGCGTGTATGGTACCGATAAGTGTTTAACTTCCTAAGAAAATATTTCTCCAATAAATCTCCAAAAATATTCAAAAATAATGTTTACAAGTTTGTGAGCCTAAGAAGCACTGAACACAATTACTATCTAATATATATATATATATATATATATATATATATATATATACAGCTTATAACATGCACAACAGGGAAACATCAAGCCGATTCTGGAATGGATGAAGGCCCGTGATACCTAGCCCAAGTGAAGCGACGTCTCAGCGATGAGTTCGATCACTAAAAGCTATTGGGCCCAACGGGACAGTTTGCTGATTCAGGATGGAGTCCTGTGCCGTAAATGGGAAAATGGTCGAGGAGACAGCTGTCCTTTGCAAATGGTTGTCCCTAAAGCTAAAGTGCTGGATGTTCTACAGCTGTACCATAATGGTTGTTCAGGAGTCCCTCTCGGAATTAAACGAACTATACTGAAGATCCGAGAACAGTTTTACTGGATCCATTATCGTAACGATGTCGAGGATTGGTGTCGCACATGTACAAGTTGTGCGACTGTGAAGGGACCTCAGACTCGTAGTAGAGGAGCATTGAAATTGTACAATGTTGGTGCACTATGGGAGAGGACAGCCCTTGACGTTGCGGAGCCGTTTCGAAAAGATGTAAGAGGTACTCCTAAGCTCGTCCATGTGGATCGCCTGGCGCGTTATTATGGGGCCGATAATGTTCGGGACGAGAATGTCTTAGGAGGGGGCAGCGTTGCGCGCCTAAGTTGACTTCAGGTGTCTGGCACTAGTGCCATCTAGTGTCGGGGACCAGAGCGAGGAGGGCTTCCTAGAAAATGTCAATCTTGAACTTTCGACCAACAGCGCCATCTAGTATCGAACAGAAGAATTAAGCCTTCTAGAAGCCTCACACTCGAACTTTCTGCGTCTGGTCGGTCAGCGCCCGTATTTACTGGAATATTCTGGATGTTTCGGTAGAAAAGGCGTATTTAAAGACGCTGCAAGACGCGATCGGGGCAGTATTGAATTTGGCGAGACAAGCGAAGCTTCGGAGCGAAATAAAGCGAATCAGTGTGATTATTGGTGTTTTAATTTTTAGTTGGTATTCGGTAATAAAAGTATAAATTTTGGTAATTCAATCGGCAGTTTTTATTGTCACGAACCTCGAGCTCGTAACAATACTATAAATTTTTTATTACATATAGTTATTAAGATTAGCAAAGCATAAACTAACCAAGTTTCTACAGATAAATTAACTAGTAAGCAACAACTAATATCAATAATAACAAACTTTTACCAAAACGAAAAATAAAACTAAGAAATAAAGTACATTATGATTGATTAATATACACCGTGGCGGTGTAAGAATATCCACTACCTCATATCGTCCCTTGGGTGTCATAAGAGGTGGTAATGAAAAAAAATATCAATTAAGTTTTTACGTGGTAGAGCCATGCTGCAATTATATTAGTAGTATAGTTGTAGCACGAATGGGTCGGCTCGACCGGGGAAGGACCACGCTCTCACAGAATACCAGCGTGAAATAGTAGCTTAATGCTGCTGTATTTCGTATGGTGAGTGTAGAGAACCGGAGACCCTTTTTACTGGAAATGAGGCATTCCATCTCAGTCCTCACGGGTGACAACGCATCTGCATTTTGATTTGTAATGGAAGATAGATGTAGATGTCTATGGGCCGCAGCAACCACTTACCATCAGGTGGACTGTGTGCTCGTTTGTCACCCTATCCTATAAAAAAAAAGTTTGTCTCCACGACACCAAGTTTGCTTCACAGAACGTACATATTGTGAACTGGTAAAATGGGTAGTATAAATACCGCGGCACGATCGCGGTCCGCCTCCTCTTTTCCCGGTCCACTCCCTAAAGTGCTGACAATGAGGCCTTAGGTTCAAGTCCCGTGTCGGGAAAAAAATCATTTATTGAGTTTTCCGTCAAGAAATTATTAGTGGCTGTCCGGAGCCAGGTATTTGGCGGTGTTTCATTCACCTCCGTGTCTCAGAAAGCACGTAAAGCCAATGGTTCTGCCCTTGATTTCTCTCTTGTCATGTCGGATTGCTGTACCATCGAACTATGAGAGTGACGGCATAATAATAATAATAATAATAAATAAAGGCGTAGGGAAGTGACGACCCCATCGCCCGCTGACGTAACGGTTATGTGACAAAACCGCTACGTCAGCGCAGTCAGTCAGCACCTTGCCAAGAGGTGTTAGTGCCGTGCCTCGGCAAAAATTGAAGGTGCAAAGGCCCGCTTGTGCACATGGCCTCACCATGAAACGGCGCCGGGTCTGGGCGTCTCCCGCTAAATGACGCCCACCACTATGGATGATGGAATACGGAAGAACGCGCAAAGGGCCGCTGCCTGGAGGTCGCCAGGGTGCGTCTGGAGCTGGCGCTGGACGCGGCAGCATGCGAACCGCCAGCCGAGCGCGAGGTGCTGCACGACCACCCAGCAACCCCTCGCATCCATCATCCCCACCAGCTGGCTTGGTGTCGGCAGGGTCTTCGCGGGCCCAGCAATCGGCACCCGCCTCTGGTGGAGTACCCCGCATGCGTTGGACAACCCAGATGAACAGCAACACATTGCGGGCGTATTTTTGGGGCGAAAGGGGGAGAAACTGGATGTTTGGAGTATCGGGCTAGGATGCATCGTCTTTTTGCTGAGCTGGAGCCATCTTTAACCGTCACAGAGCAAAACCTGGCAGACCGAGTTCGGTATATCTTGCGCTCAAATATATTTGATGTCGCCGAACTCGAACGGCTACGACGTGAGGCTGTTCCCTCGTCGGATGAGAAAGCTACGGCTGAGGATGCGGCGCCACAAATGGTAGAGCAACCCGTAAACGTGGATGCCGCCGTGAATACCCCAGTTGTGGTTGATTCAAACGATGATGGAACAGTCGCCCAGGAACTGGAATTAGAGCATATGAGGAGTACATTGGAAGAGGCGATTGTGGAAACGCGCAGTACGCCTCTCGAAAATCGACCGCGACTTCCCCCGCATAGCCCTAAGCAAGCGGAATCGGGCTGTCGTGAGGACTCTGAACCCAATGCTGGTGACCTATTTGAAGCCAGCCGGGACCTTTGCGAGACGGACTCAATCTTTTTGGCGCCGCGCTGGCAGTCTGCCGTATCATAGGCGCCAAGGTTTCCACGGCTGGACGCGCTACTGGCCATAGTAGCGCTATCCCAGCATGGAGAAGAAGAATTGAGGAACGTATCGCAAAGGCTAGAGCTCTCATCGGCAGACTGATATGCTTCAGATCAGGCAACAACAGGCCAAGAATTGTGCGCTCGCCAGGATGGCGTTTGCTGGGACAAATGTCAGTTTGTCCCAGCCGGATATAACGCAAAAACTGACGGAGCGCATAGATGATCTGAAGCAGAGAATCGCTGCTTGGGGAAAACGGATTCGGCGATATACCGAGAGGTCGACACGGTTCAACCAGAATCGTCTCTTCCAGAGTGATCAGAAGAGGCTCTATGAATCATTGGAGCGACCAATGGTAAGTGGAACGGGTCCAGCACCGAATCAGGCACCAGCACCGACACTGTAGCATTCTGGCGCGGCCTGTGGTCAGAGCCCGTAAACCACAGCGAGGGCCCTTGGACGAAAGTTGTGGCGAGTCAGTGTGCGGGTATTACGCCCATGGACCCCGTCATCATAACGCCGGATGACGTAGCTGAGGCGATCCGTAGGGCCCCGAACTGGAAAAGTCCGGGGCTTGACGGGCTGCATCACTACTGGCTGAAGGGGTTCATGGTGTGTCACTCTGTGCTTGCCCGACAGTTTCAAGAGGCTCTCAACCAGAAGTCGCTCCCAAGCCTCTTCACTACTGGGATCACTCATTTGGTTCCTAAAGACCAGGGTACCACAGACCCGAGCAAATACCGCCCCATCACGTGTCTACCGACCATATACAAGACACTAACATCCATTTTGAGCGCGAGAATCACTTGTCACCTGGACTCAAATCAGATGATGTCGCGCGCTCAAAATGGATGTCGGGGCGGTGGTCGTGGAACCAAGGAACCACTCCTCATTGACGCGGTCATTGGCAAAGTGGTGAAACGCAACCGTCGGAACTTCTCCGCCGCCTGGATAGACTACAGAAAGGCATTCGACTTCGGTGCCCCATACATGGCTAAAGAGAGTCCTCGAGCTGTACAAGATAGACTGTACAGTTAGAGACTTCCTTGAGCAGTGTATGGGGCAGTGGAGTACGATCCTTTGTCATCTGGGCGAGCGGATGATGGCTGCGGAGAACCACATAAGGATAAGAAGGGGGTATCTTCCAGGGCGATTGTCTGAGTCCAATCTGGTTCTGCCTCTCTCTGAACCCTCTCAGTACCTTACTGTAGGGCTCCGGGAGGGGATTTCAGCTACGGAGAGGAGGGACAAAAAGTGACCCACCTTTTTCTATATGGATGACCTCAAGTTTTTCGCCTCCAGTCGCTCCCATCTTATGGAATTGCTAAACATCACTTGTGAATTTAGCAATTCCATTGGAATGGAGCTTGGGACGGATAAGTGTGCGGTCCTCCATGTTGAAAGGGGAAGGGTCGCTAACTCTGAGGGCGTAGACTTATCTATGCCCGTCAACTTAAGGACCCTTTCCGAGGCTGAAACATACCGATACCTGGGTATGTCACAAAACATCGGTATCGATGAGACTGGTATGAAACAGTCAGTTTGCGACGTGTTTTATGCACGCTTGACCAAAGTGCTTAACAGCCTTTTGTCCGGTGTGAATAAGGCACACGCATATAACGGCTGGATCATGCCCGTCCCCATGTATACCTTTGGCATACTCAGGTGGACTCAGACTGAACTTAACGCCCTGGATAGAAAAGTCCGCACTACCATGACGTCCCATAGGATGCATCATCCGAGATCGTCGGTAATGAGGTTGTACTTGTCGCGGAAGCATGGTGGTCGTGGCTTCTTGAGCGCGCTCACCATGCATAATTGCTCCGTGATTACTTCCTGGCGAGATCGGATGATCCATTCTATATGGACGTCATTTCTTGTGATAAAGGACTTACCCCTCTATCCTTAGCCAACGAGCAATGGCAAGACCCGGCAGTGCAGAGCATTTCCGACCGAGAGACCGTATGGAAGGAGAAGGAGCTCCACGGGAGGTTCTACAAGGCTCTACATGAGCCTTTCGTAGACACAGTAGCCTCCCTCCACTGGCTACGCTTTGGTGATCTCTTCGGGGAAACCGAGGGTTTTGTCTGTGCAATACAGGATCAGGTTATTAAGACCAACAACTATCGGAGATACATCCTAAAGGATGGCACCGTCGACATCTGTCGAGCTTGTTGCCATCCCAGTGAGTCACATATGCATGTTATCTCCGGTTGTTCGGCGCTTTCTAACTCTGAGTACTTGCACAGGCACAACCTACTAGCCAGAATTCTACACCAGGAGCTCGCTCTGAAATACGGTCTCGTGGACCGGAAATTGCCGTACTACAAGTACTTGCCGGAAGCCGTGCTCGAAAAATGATCGCGCCAGGCTCTATTGGGACCGGGCCATCATCACAGACAGGACTATTCTTGCGAATAAGCCTGATATTGTGCTGATGGACCGGGCACAGTCAAGGATATTTTTGGTCGACATTACCATTCCGTATGACGAGAACCTCGTGAAAGGCGAAACAGACAAGCAAACAAAATATCTGGACCTGGCTCACGAGGTGACCGACATGTGGGGTGGTCTGCCGACCGAAATTATTCCTGTAGTCGTCTCTGCAAACGGGCTAATCCCAGTCAGCCTCTCGGGTCATCTGAGGCGGCTGGGACTACGTGGCGGACCGCTCCAGGTTCAAATGCAGACGGCGGTGCTCCTCGATACCGCGCGCATCGTGCGCCTGTTTCTTTCCCTTTCCCCCTAACCCTCGGCCGTTTGGTCTCCCCTGCCGAGGGCCTCCATCTGGTTGGGCTTTTATTTATTTATGTACTTTTATATTTATTTTATGTTATTGATATTTATGTATATTTATTTTTTCATTTTCATTTATAATTATATATTTATAGAACCCAACCAGATGAGAAAACTATATAGATACCCCATAATAATAAATAATAACCCCATTGCCTGCTGACGTAACAGTTATGTGACAAAACTGCGACGTCGGCGCAGTCAGTCAGCATCCTGCCAAGAGGTGTGAGCGCCGTGCCTAGGCAAAATTGTAGATGCAAAGGTCCGTTTGTGCATATGACCCAACCACGAAACGGTGCCGGGCTTGGGCGTCTCCCGTTATTTGGCGCCCATAAAATGGATGATGGCACAGAAAGGAACGCGCATAGGACCGCTGCCTGGAGGTCGCCGGGGCGCGTCTGGAGCTGGCGCTGGACGCGGCAGCATGCGGGCCGCCAGCCGAGCGCGAGGAGC